TTTTTATAAGAGTTTGACTTGCAAGACAACTGATTTACAGTTTGAGAAATAACGCAATTTGTATTCCTGATGCATTATTTGTTCATGATAACGAGTTTCAAAAATCTGCGTCTTTGAAATCTACTTTAGTTTGATATTTAAGGGGGGCAATATGAGTTACAGCAGTCAAAAATGACCCAAATTTGGACTATGTTTTATACTCTTGCGCTCCATTTTGGTCAGCAGGGTGGCCCCGGGAGACATGTCCTACCCTTTAGTTATCCTTTGAAAGTAATTTGATCCTGGGGGTGACCACTTACTCCCCTTATACTGTCCATGGGGTCAGCTTGGTTGTACCATGTCAAAAAAATGGTCCAAAATACATTCCCTAACATTGCGCACATATTTTTCTACAAATTTGCTCTGATCCATTCCTCTACCTAATTTTCTTAGTTGATATTGATGTTGGCATGTCCTGAACTAGAACCAAACCATTGGAAGCATTTTGACATTTTTTTAAATAAGCACTTCTACACTGCAAACAAAATAATAAAATTTAATCATATTTTTTTTATTTTTAAAATTGTCAGACATGAGATCTTCTAGTTCAGGACATGTCCACATCAATGTCAACCAAGAAAATTAGGTAGAGAAATGGATCAGAGCAAATTAGTAGAAAAATATGTGCGCAATGTTAGGAAATGCATTTTTTTGACATGGTACAACCAAGCTGACCCCATGGACAGTTGAAGGGGAGTAAGTGGTCACCCCCAGGATCAAAATACCTTTAAACGATTACTGAAAGGGAGGACATGCCTCCCGGGGCCATCCTGCTGACCAAAATGGAGCCCAAGAGCAGCAAACATAGTCCAAATTTAGGTCATTTTTGACAGCTTTAACTCATATTGCCCCCCTTAATGACTTAGAAAACCTTTCGAGTCCATTGTTAACATCACTCGCCATTTGCGTTCTGCGCATGCGCCATCATTGGTCTGTTTTTTACATTCAATAAGCAGAAATTCGTACA